GCATGTACTGCATCATGTTTTTAGTTTCCTGTTGGTATTAGGTAAAGTTCAAGATTCAAGAATCCCTTGACCTTCAGTAAAATGAAAAAGCAACCTGAGAGAGCCTGAGAGCCTTCAGTAGTCTTGGCTTCAGACTATCAAATTGCTATGCGTCATTTCACTGAAACTTTTTGCATTCTGGTAGGCTTCTGTATGCCTATTATACTGTATGCTTTACATGGAACAAGGTTTTAAGTTTTGCTCCCTGAGATGGAAGTAATACATTCCTGGTTTTCTTCTTTAAAAAAATAAGGCAAGTTCTGTACAAAAAAAAAAAGGAACTTGAGCTGAGTCCTGTAAATGCAATGCTTATAGAAGCTAATCTCGTGCTGTTCCTGATCTCAGCTCACTTGTCCTCAAAAAACTGATTGACGCTCCAAGCAGGGATTGCAATAAAGCAGATCCTTAGGTGAAAGTAACACTAGGTTATAATACTTTCTCTTTGATTTAAGTGCAGTTTTTTCCTACATACTTGGTTAGCACTTCTAATTGGAAGCTGATGTTGAGGCATTTTGTACTACTTAATCTTGAATCTCTTCCATTCCTTGGTTCTGATCTTTTTTTTGACACAGTAATTTGGTCATGCCCTGGTGCTCAAAAGACACACTGACTTCTTCCCAGTCATTTAGGCATATATTTTTATAAAGCCTTAAGTTGAGGTTTCAGCTTGTTTTCTGCAGTGTCTTTAAGTGATTTGTTTTTCCAGTTAAACAAATCTGAAAATGCCACTGGATTTGTGGAGCTGTGCTCATTGCCTGGGTTGCATCGCCTCTTGTGATTGGCTGAGCTAATTCAGAAGGTTAAATCGGGAAGAGAACAAGTGAGTTTTTGAAGGTAGGGGTCTCTTAGGTACCTGATGAGTGCTGACGCAGGAGGAGGAGGACTGCAAGAATAAGCTTTTTGATGTCAGCTGAAATTCAACTGGCCAAACAATAACGCTTAGCCTGACTTTCAGAGTGTTCTGCTGACATAGCAACTTGCTGTCTGCAAAATGGAATGTTCTTGTTTTGCTCCATTTGTGATTGGACCTCTTCTGAGTTCCCTGCCACTAGTTTGTGCTAAGGCCATGTATACCCATGAGCTGAATAACTTGCTGATAGAGGGGAAAAATTAAGTTTTATGCTTTTCTGTAGTTTGGCTTTGTCTTGTGGAAATAGTCGGCAGGTTGTGGAAAATCCGTGGCCAGAAATGGTCAGTATGGTCACCCTGTCTTGCCAGAAGGGTGCTGTTAAGTGGGTAGAAAAATGCATTGCTTTTATAATTAGACTTGTGCGTGGCTGCTTCATATAGAAAATCTAAATCTGCTGTTTATTGCAACAAATAACAAGCCTGCAAATGTGATAAGTATTCTGTCATTCCAAATCATGAATACTTTGTTATGTTATGAAGGTTGTCATAATTCCTCAGTATCTTTTTTTCAGTTAGTAGTAGAAACTTAATTCAGAATTGATGTTGAAAATATTATCATGGTCAGTATTTGATAGCACCTAGTTCTGTGGCTTTTAATGCTGCAAGTGAGCCTAAGGGATCTTTTTGTTTTGTTTACTCTTTAAACATTCTGTCAAGTTGCATGAGTAGAGTCATTGCCTTGCTGTTTCAGGTAGTATTCTTGACTTTATTGCCAAGCATGGCATTGGATCACTGTGATCAAAAATCAGTTAGTGCATAGGGATTTAGCTGAAATTGAATCATGATAAAGTGCTTGAGTTGGCAATCTCATCAGGCTCCATGTGAAACAGTACAATTTTATGTATTCCAAGGAAGCAAAAACGAAAGGGAAGGCAGATCTCTAAAAGCTTGGGCAAATATAAAGAAAAAAAGTAAGAAAACCTCATGATGCTGTGTTTACCTTGAAAATTTACAAAATATCTTGATTACTAAGTTAGTACAAAGTGTATCCAGAAGTTTTGTTGAGAATGACAGACTTCAATATTGTGAACGTGAGGCAGACAAGGTCAGATTTCAAGAGGAGGAGGGCCAGGCCTCATTAAAACAGTAAATGCATATTCTATGTGCCTGTGTGTCCTAAATTTGGATCAGTTAAGGACCTGAATAGTGTGGTCTTGAAGTGGCTTGTTCTTCAGAACCTTGTGCATTATAAGTGTGTTATTTTGGGGGAGACATGTAGCTCGTTATTCAATTACAATCTGTGAGCAGAATACTGACTCTTGAGTGGAAGTCTTTATGTCAAAGGAAATACTTATCTTGAGCATCCTGAGCCTTGGAGAGCCCTGAATATCTGCATGGTAATTAGCTTGCTAGTTTGAACTATTAGCTTGATTGCTCTGCAACTGCAGCTAGTTAAATAATAACTGGATGGAGATACTGTTCCAAATCAAATATGTGGCATTGGCACATCAGATTTAAGCTATTTCTAGCACTTTAAACATTTTGGAGTCTATATACTGTTTTATGAGCTGTATGTAAGTTCAAGTTAAATAATTTGTGAAGATAAGTTTGTTTGTTTGTTGGTTTGGGTTTTTTTGGTCTTTTGGGTCTGACTGTGTCAGAAGATGAGATAAATGTAAAAATGTAAAATTTGGAGTAGTGATATGTTAGCTTTCTACCTCCCTTGCTGGAGAAGGGGAAGAAAAAAAGATCTAACTGATCAACATTCTATGCCTGCAAGTGTGTTTATGTCTATAAATATATATAGGTCCTGCTCAGTTCAGTCTGTAAATCTTGAAAATAGCAGCAATGAAAAAGTTTGACTTCTGAAAATATTCATGTCATTCATATGAGAACACAATGTTCTCATAGCACAAATGAGCTGTTAGAAGTATTCCTTGGTGGGAAAATTGTTGAGTATTGACTTTTTAAATGTACAATGGTCATCTTTATGTAGCTAAAGCCTACAATAACTGGGAGAAGAGTTGTCAAAAAAAAAAGTAAAAGGAAGCAAAAGAGCTCATGTGTTCTGTTAACTGGGATATTTTTTCAGTTTAGTTTGTTACCTTCTGCAGAAGTGTGAACAGTTTTTGTAAGTTCACTTGTGGGGTTTTTCTGTACTAAGCTGTTTGGGGTTATATACAGCTAATCACTATGATAAAGTATAGGTTAAGATACAGTAGATTTAACTGTTGCAGAAAGCAGATTCCTGAATTAAAGTGTTTTTCTTTGCCTAAATTACCTTACAGAGTATTTATATCCAATACATTCTGAAATACATTTCACAAATGTAACTTGTGAATTTATTTATAAGGTAAAAAGCAATAATCAAATACTTTTTAAGAAACATTCCACCTTATGTTTAAATGTAGCAATGGCAAGTGGAGATGAATTTTGGACAGAACTCTGTGCATCCCAGTTTGCAAATAGCTGCCCTCTTTCCAGTGTCTGTTACATTAATGTGTTAGATAAAAGGCATGAGGAGAATAGACAATGTTCTTGCACTACTTGTCATGGCAGATAGTCTCTATTTGAAATGTGTTATGGTTTTTTTTTTACTTTTCTTGTTATTTTTTGTCCCTTCACCAGCCCCACTTACCTACTGATGTATCAACAATATTGGTCTGAATTTTTGGCTTAGTTTGACTTATTTGTGTAGCTTAAGGTGTTCATACTGTTGATGTTAGTCAGTAGTTTTATACTGAAGAAATCCATAGCTAAATCACTTTTTTGGGTGACTTCATTGACTGAGAAATAGTTTGAACAATGAAAAATCAATCCGTGGGAGGGAGAAAGCTTGTAACAATGGATTTGTAGACAAAGGCTTTTAAGGACTGATTTCCTGAACACATGGCTTGCCTTTTGTTTGAGCTTGGTGAGTGAAAAGGCAGCTAGCTCATGTCTCAAGATGGATGACTTCTTCATGTGTATGAGAATGGGGCTAATAAAATTTATACTTGACTTTTTGCTTCATCAGTGAACTTCTTTAGTTACAGCTTGAGTACTGACTTGGTATCTGAAGAGAGAATCAGAGCATTTGAAATAGCTCTGTTAAAATCTGAGCTCAGAAAAAAGAAATACACTGTGGACTAAGACTTTGGTTCTTTTTCATCAGGTCAGTTTGCTCCAAGAGAACTAACGAGTCAAGTTGCTGGAGCATCTGTTGGCAAAAGAAACTGTGAACCTGTGGTATACTGAACTGCTTTGTCCTAGTGGATTTCCTTTTTTGAAAGGAGGATGGTGTAAAATGCTGAGCTTAGAATGTAGTTGCTACTGTGGAAGACATTTTAGGTATTAAGCAGAAATATGTTGAATCCTAAGCAAGCACTTGCCTATGCCTACTCTTGCATATTTACTGTCTGAGACAAGGTCTTGTGTGAAGACATACCACTGCACTGAAGCAGAAGAATTACATATGTATGATGGTAAATGTCTTCATTAGGAGGTAGGGTAGGAAAGCTCAAGTTGAGGTCTTTGAGTGACTGTCACTGTAAACATGGAGTGGTTTGTGGGATTTTGATAGGGGCTTTTTTGTTTGTTTTTTTAATTGTTGCTTTGCGGTTTAAGTATTTACTGGTATGGTAAGTGCTAGAAGTTTCACTTATTTCTACTTATAGAAGATATGACTTGATAAAGATTGTTTAAGGAGAAACATGTAAGTGCAGTAGTTTAACTTAAGTTTTTGCTTGATGCTCTAGATCAGTAATCAGACTGCTAAAAAGTACCAAAGTACCATGTCTTGTTTTTTTGGTAAATCTGAATTCACAGAATGTTCATATCCAGTTAAATTCCCAAAAGACTGTTAGCCCAGTTATACAATTGTCAGATTGTTTTTATATGAAGTTGTGTATTAGTGGTAGTATCCTCTGAAAAATGATTGATCTGTGCCTAGGTTTGGTGTTTTTGCTTGAAATGTGTTTCTGTAGTATTTCCACACTGTTGTGAATCAGTTAATCAGAAAAAAAGCAGGAATTCTCTTCTAAAAAGGTAAGCTAATTATGGAAGAAGGCTTACTGTGAAAACCAAGCAACATAACTTACTTGTGTAGCAACTAACACTTGCTTTGTTTTTAGGTGCCTTAGCTGGACCAGTTGTTGATCCACATGTGACAGCAGTTTGGGGGAAGAAGGTTGCACTGAAATGCATAATTGATGTAAACGAAACAATAACACAAGTTTCTTGGGAGAAGATATATGGTAAAAGTTCACAGACTATTGCTGTTCATCACCCTGAATATGGAATATCTGTTCAAGGAGAGTACCAAGGAAGAGTGGCATTTAAAAACTACTCACTTACTGATGCAACAATCATCTTAAAAAATGTAAGCTTTTCTGATGCAGGAGAATATGTTTGCAAGGCAGTTACATTCCCGCTTGGAAATACACAGTCATCAACAACTGTAACAGTATTAGGTAAGTCAGCTTCTTTTTGAAAGCAAAATTCTGCAAATAACTTACAAATAAGTTGAATTTTACCATTTAACCTAAAGAAAATGTAAAATATGTGTTTGCTGGGCTTTGATTACAGGTGTGCAATTTTTACTAATGTCATAGAGGAGACTTCTTTTTGTTCTTGCTCCTTTAGAACTTGTTATTTGACTGTCTAGTTATTAAAAATAAATGAGTTCCTATTTAGGAATTATGCTGAAAACAAACATTCAGTTTGTATTAGCAGTGTTTTAGAGCTTTGACAGACAATGCTGATACCAGGGACTTGTGTGTATGTGCTGGGAAGCTGCTGGACTTGGGTTTAGCTACTGCCTTGGCTAAATGCCCTCAGTTTGTAGTGGGTAATCACAGGTCTTCAGAAAAAGCAGGTATTTCTAAACCTTGTTGGTTTGTCTCAGTGAAATAGTCCATCATCTGTAATGAGGTTAGAGAGCTCCTAGTAAAGGTCAATGCCCCATGCCTGGAAACATTTGGATGGGACTTTGCAGTAGCCTGGTGTAGTTCAAGATGCCCCTGCTTATTGCAAGGGGATTGGACTGGATGACCTTTAAAAAGTCCCTTCCAATGCAATTCTATGATTTTATAAATATGCTGCTAACATGATAATTTAATATAGCTGCTTAGGTCTGGTGATGCAGACTTGTTCTTTGCACAATATAAATGTAAAGCAAAACTGTCTAGATGACTGCTGGGAGTTGTGGGAAGAAAGAGTCAATTTAAGCTCTTGACTGTTTGTGGATAGTCATAATGTGAAACTTTGATAGACTTGAGAGTTTGTTTACACTAACTTTCTCCCTCTTGTTGAGGGCTGTGTATTGCTGTCATAAGGAATTAGTTCTGAAGTGCAAGTAACTCAGGTGTTACTGCAGTGTAAGGTAAAATGATTACCCTGAAACTTGAAAGCCTCTTATTAAGTTGCCCTCTCCTTACAAGAGTATTCTTCTTGTACTAGTGTAAGGTACTTCTGTATCTCTTTCCAGGAGTAAAATGATATTTTCTGTAGCTGAGATGGTTGTGAATGACTATTTCTGCAAGCAGATGTGCTTTTTAGGATCATCTCTTGGTCTTTGATACCAGCTTTTCATAGTAGTAGAATATTCAATGGAATTAATCAGAGGGCTGTAGCACCGTATGTAAACTGGTTTTCACCACAAGGTGGGGCAAAATAAATGCATTAAAGTAACTGGCTTAATCCAATTTGAAACCAGTAACTTAACCAAAATTCTGTGTGATGCACAAAGCATGTGGTCTTATGGTTCTCTTTTTCACCTGACTTCCATCAGTACTGCAAGTGGCTATGTGTGTGGCTATTGTAGCAGTCTCTTCACTTCAGGTTTCAGCTATTGTGCTTTACCAGTAAGCTGTGGGAATTTTACTACCTCCCCTCACCTTTTCTAGTCAGTTCCTCTTTCTAAGATTGTTTTTTTTTCAGGTAACATTAGTTATTGTGTCCATTTTGCACTCATAATATCAGGTTTCTGGAAGAACTTGGAAAGCACATCTATGTTTCATGTGCTTATTATTCTACATTTGGAAGAGTAGAAGGACCACAACTTGTTTCATTGAATATACGTTATGAAAAATTGCATTTGAAATAGGCAAAGAAGTATTAGTCAGGCATACAGTGGTTCTGATCATAGCTTTTTTCATCTTTGATGTAGATGATTGCCAATTGCTGTAAGTCTGTCAGGACTCTCTAAATGGCAAAACCCAGCTGTTATTTGCAAAGATGCTTTTCCATCCTAGTTACCAGCAGCTTCACTTGCATGTACCACTAGGTAGCCAACCCTCTGTTGGACTTAAGTTCTATGGCCTCAGCTGTATATTTTCTGTCCTTTTAGAAACTCTTTGCTACACTGACTTGTAGGCTTAAACTGTCAAAATACTGGGGAAGTAATGATGTTCAGAATATGTTTGTAAATTAATAAATAGTGAACTTTGCTGGCCTGAACTCAGCAATTCCAAGCTCATCAGAATCTTAAGGCATGCAATTGCTGTAATTTAAATCTTGATGTAACTTAAAATAATCTTCAATGATACATTGGCTGCATTCTCCCACTGGTCTAAAAAACTCTTCCTTAAGTAAGAGAAAAAGTTCCTGTCCTAAGGCTGAGGCTGTTTCCAGTTGAAGCAGGACTGCCTTTTTTCCTAGTCCCTGTCTGTTCTTATTCAGCAAAGAATTTGTTTCCTTCCCCTGTGTAGCGGATATACTTAATCATGTACTAGATGCTTTTACACTATAAAGTGGACACACTGAAGACAAATGGAAGAAATAACTGCAACATAAAATGCCCTGTGTTTTGCCACAGCACACTGATCACTTAAGACCATATTTAAAACTTCTTGTGTGCCCCAAGTTTAACAGATGAGCCATGTTTGGTGACTTTGCCCACTCCAAGTTTGCTTTTAGTGCTTCATGTCGTCTTAAGGAAATGCACTGTAAAAGAAGAGGTTAAGACAGTGGAAATGCTTTTAGGGTCAAACAGATATATTGAACTTTTCTGAAACTTTGGTTTGCCAAACTTAAGTTGTTAAACTTTGCAAAAAATGGCAAATAATTTTTGTGTCAAGCTGTTGGTTTCCCCAAGATCCCATGATGCTGACCAAATGAGGCAAACTGGTGTCTCAGGGCAGAAGAAAGGGCTTGTTGCTGGGTAGCTTGCAGAGCTGATATAATTTTTATGTGACTAACTTGAGTGCTGCCCATGACTATTTAAAATACCTGGTTTGGTTTAACTCTGTCTTGCTAAGTTGGATTTCTTATCATGGGTATTGATAAAGTAGGTCTTGTTCCTTTGCAGCCTAGCTCTTCCCAATGCTACAAGTGAGGAATAAATTGTACAAAGGAGTGTCAAAGGCATAGGTCATGAATTAGATCCTAGACACTCTAATGCAGAAAGTCTTCCAATTAGAAATTAAAAGATTATGTATGTCAGGCAGTATAGATATTGGGTACTACAGAATACTCAGGGCCAAGAAAAAGTATCAAGTAGATGGCAAATTAGTGAACTTAACGGCCTTAAAACAAAGAAGCAAACTGCCTCCCCCCCAAACTATTAAAACAAGAAAACCTTAATAAGTTAATAATTAAGTATTAATTAGCATACAGGATAAAGTGCACAGAAAGATAAAGCTCCTGGTTTCAAGGTGAGAGAAAATAAAAACTTGAAATACTGTTTTGGAAAGAAGTTAATCAAGTACATGTCAGATGCAATGAAGGAAATGACAATTTCCAGTGTTGTGCTATTGCCAAGGAATCAGTGAATTTAATGTCGGGAGGAAATAATCCTGTGTGTGTTGTAATCATGCCAACATCATCCAGACCTGTGTGCAGAAAATTAGTTTTAAAACCAACAGAAGCAATTGAAAAAGGTTTATGAAGTACAGGAAGACCAAGAAGCAGCTTTTTGGCCTCGAAACTTGATGCAGTAGGATTTAATGGTCATGTCTGGATGCTATATTATGTTCATTTTCTGTAAAAAAATTATAAGGACCAGAGCAGCAAGAGATTTCTGGTATGCCTATGTTGAATGTAAGGTGAAGGTTGAATAAGCTGGGTTAAATTAGTGGTGGTCATGAGTCTGTAAAAGGGCAAGCACAGATGGGCAAATTAGTTGAAACCTTTTGAACAACTGCCCATCTATCTTCCATGCTTCAGCCATCCTGTCTTTAATACTCAAGTATAATTCACACCATAATGTTGCTTTAGATGGAACTCTCACACTGTGGAAGTAGGTCTTGCTTTTGCATGTTAGGGGATTGATGGCTTCCTTTTCCACACAAAGCATTGTCCTCACTATCTTTTTAATTTGGCCTAAATAGAGCATAAGGTTTCTACTGAGTGTGTCTAGCAGCTTCTCTAATGTTCTCCCAGCTGCCTCTTATGGCCTCCACCACCACTGTGGGCAGAGAAAGTAATTAAAAATCACACTCATGTGGCGGAATGAATGGTCCTGGGATAAGATGACTGCATATAGAAATTACACTTCCACAAAACAAAAAATTAACCAAAAAGAATTCCAAAACCCTACTTTGGATAATCTCTTTTCCAAACTGAAAATGGTAAAACTGTTTTGCACTGTGAGAGATGAGATGTCAATGCCCCCTTGTAGTTATGGATTTATTAACCAGATACTTCTTAATCCATGACTGAAACATCTAGAAAAGCCATAGAATAAGTATCTGGGCTTCTGCTTGTTTTGTTTCAGTTGCTGGGACAGAGTAGTCCTGAATGATAAACTATAGAAATAAGTATCCTAACAGCGATTGCTTTCCATTTTTCAGTATGTGGTTATTTAGTTACCTTGCAGTTGATGTGTCGTACAAGAATCACAATTTATGAGAAGATATGACAATAGAAGCCTAAACATTTCTGATGTATAAAAAAAACTAAACATGGGAACAGGTAGGACTGGGAATAAGTATATTTTATGACACTGAGTAGTTTTGAATAGTTTACCTTTGGTGTCTAGTTGACAAGTGTAAAACCAAGTATTGCACAATGAACTCAAACTGACAAATCTCTGGTATCATTTGAGAAAGTAGGTGTTTAAAATTAGATCTATCATGCTACTTGAAGGCTTCTTTTTCTAAAAGTACAGTACTGAGTAGTCCTCTTTGGGTCTGGACATCTATGCAACTTAGTTAAGAGTTCTTGTTTACTTACGTATCCCTTCAGAGGTGGAGAAAAAATTACACAGTTACATACATTGTTTTGAAGAAAAATCAAAGGAATAGAACATATCAAGCTTTTATTTCCAGCTGAAATTATTTGAGTCTAGAGTTTTGGCATGAAATGCTAATGATAGCTGCTAATTTAATTTATTTTACTATTATGGAAATCTTGGGAAGGGAGGGATACAGCAAAAATTAGAACTTTCATGTATGTAAAATTCTAAATATAAATTTGGATGTATACTTCTGCATTTTAGTAATGCTACAGAAGCTACTGAAGAAATCTCTACCAGTGATTTTGGGAGGATAAGGCAGTAGTGTTCATGTTAAATCAGGAAAACCAAATTGTGGGTCAAATAACAAAACTATGTTACGTCAAGTTCTCCATACTAGGTTTTAAAGGCTTTTTTTGTGGATGAGACAATGCTTCATGTGTACATCAGTTCAGATATGCAAGTTTACTGCACAAAGCTCTAGCTGTTGCTGGTGTTGCAGAGCAGGGAATCAGATTTTGAAAGAAGCTGTATTAAAAATACTTCAGATCTAGAAAAGTGAGTGTTCAACTTGGTAGAAAAAAACCTGCTATTGGCTTATTTTCAGTAGGGTTACTAACAAATCTCAGAGGGTGGGCATTCAGAGAAGGAAAGTAGAAAATAATTTGCTCTTAGTATCCACCCAAACAATCTTCAATTTCATAACAACTTGTATTCTTCAAGCATTTCTATGCATAGAACAGAAAACACATTTTTGTAAGGTTATCCATTTAATAGTTGCCTTTTCTTTTAGTATAATTGAGCAAATGATAAACCAACTTGTTCAGACATGAGGAGTGTTAGACTGAGCAGAAAACAGTCAAAAACTGATCCTGGCACTGAAAATAACTGAAAATATTTGTTATCTTTGGAAGGTATAGGTAGTTGGAGAACTTGCCAGGTATGGTACTTTGCTCTGTTGTGTTACAAGATGTGTCTGTGGGTCAGCTTCAATTTATTGGAAAGAAATTCCATGAACTAACTTTTTTCCTTCTGATACTGAAAGGCACAGAACTTGCAAGACTTATCTCTGCTTTGTGATTAGTGAGGGCTGATCCACTGAGGTGGATTCTGAACTATTATGGTGAGTAGCAATGACCTTCCTTCAGAGGACTTCAGTAGCCAGATTAGAGCGAGACCAGGATTGTGGAACAGGCTGGTACACCACTGCAAACCTGTCCCTTACAGAACTGGTGACACAAACGGGCCATTCTAAAACAGCCCAGCCATGGTTTGTATCTGGAGCACCAGGTAGTTTTTCTGACTTGGGCTGCAGCTGGTGGGTGGCTTGTACAGGGCCAAAACAGATTTGCTAAACCAAAAGGAAATTTTTTCGAACCTTTTTAGTCTATAGTCCTCAGCAGTAGACTTGTCCATGAAGAGCTCAATTTCCCTTTAGAAAGAATTGTGTTCCCCAAGTCTTTAAAATTTTGGATTGAGCAGTGGCTTTACGAGGAGGTCACATCCTTCCACATGCAGATTTCTTTAGTCTTAGTATTGAGTTCCATGTAGGCAAAATATATATATATATAGGCAAAAATTTTATTTTTATATAAAACAATGAATTTTATTTTTATTGTATTTTGTTACTGAAATTTTATTTACATATAGATTACTTTGTATATTAAAAACTTAGATAAATTTTATGTACAATTGCATATTTCTGTTTACTTATTAGATCCTTTATTCAGTGTGTGGTTTGTATATATAATAAAGATGCAGCTTGGAAGTCATTTCTATAATAGTGATCAAGAAAAGCTTAAACTCCTAATGTTAGAACACTGAACTAGATTTCAAGTGACACAAACTGACAGTATAGGTTAATTCTTAAATGCTTGAAAATGCAGCAGAATCTAAGCTTTTTGAAAAAAACCCTGCAGTGTCGTTTCAACCTAATACCTTAAGTTTGCTGTTGTCAGACACTGCAACTGAAGCACTGCAACTGGCATTTTGGATCTAACCACTCTGGAATTCCCTTTCAGTGCATTAAATGTATTGAATGAACAACACTGAACTTGAGTGAGTGGACAAAGCGGGGTAGTGTCAGCAGACCAAAGCCTTGTAGAACTGTCATCTCTTGAGATATGCGTAGCCTTCTAGGATGTCTGATTAACATGAGCATTTGCAAGCGGATTAGATCTTGTTTAACTTAAGTAGTGACACTTTCAAAGATGTGGAGTTCTTGTTTAAATCTCCTTTTTTCCCCCTCTCCTTAGTTGAACCTGTTGTGAGCTTAAAGAAAGGACCAAACCCTCTAATAGATGGTGCAAATAGGACAGTAGCAGCCACTTGTACAGCAGCCACTGGAAAACCTGCTGCGCAGATTGACTGGGAAGGAGGCCTTGGTGAAATGGAATCCACCTCTACTTTGTTTCCAAATGAAACAGTGACAGTTGTAAGCCACTATGTGATTGTCCCTACACGATTTGCAAGAGGAAGACACATAACTTGTGTAGTGAGGCACCCCGCCTTTGAAAAGGAGATGCGATACCCTTACATGTTGGATATACAGTGTAAGTATTCTGTGAGGTAATTACTCCTGGTTTGTACCTTGCAACTTCCCCCTTAATCAGTGTACACCTTCCACGGGAAGGAGATGAGCACTTTCTGCTTCAGGAAAATGGAAACTATATAGAAAAGCTGTGATAAGAGGCAGGTCAGGCAGGAGTAAAAGCCTAGGGTCTCTGAATTGAAAATAAAGTAATGAAGCTAGAATACTGTTACATTTCTACTGTTTTGGATATTGAATCATGGATAAACATGAGGGTTGATCCAAAAGCTGTTTATAGTGTCTTGCAATTTCAGCATTATTAAAAAAGAATGCTAATGAAAATTCATGTGTGAGATGCTAAGTTGAAAATAGGTCTTGTGGTGGTCAGTAAGTTACTTTAAGATTATTCACCAAGCTTTGTCCACTCTAACTAGCACAAGGAAACAAGAACATAATAATATAATTCAAACCTGCACTGGGCTTCTTTAAAAAACTTATGGCTTTTAAAAGACATGAATACAAAACAAGGTGGCTTACAATGTTGCTTAGTTAAAACTAGTTAAAACAAGTAAGCTTTAGGCATGTGGTCCCTTTTTGTTAAACAGTGCATATATGAACAAAACCAACTATTTTCGTGTTGGTCATTTGGTGGCCTGTCTTGTGTGCTGCTTTAAAGTTCCTAAACCTGGCTGTGTGCTGCTTTTAAAGTTCCTAAATCACAGAAGTCTGTCAGTTCAAGTAGAACAAATGTAGCGGCTGGGAAAAGTAGACTTGGCTGTTTTGATTTGACTAGAATTTGATTTTGGCTTGGTTTTGTTCTGTTTGGTAAAGAATCACTTATTTTGGCATAAAATAGTGATTAACACTGCTTTATTTTATTGGTCTTGAAATAAAGTTCTAGATTGGAGGGTCATTGATACAGAAATAAAACTGAAGAGGATTTGTATTGTCTCAAACAGTGAATAAAATAATTGTTTCCTGTTGAAAATGAAGTGAGGGTGCAAGTTGGTCTTCAATATTTTCATCTGAGATTAGCGTTAATTGCATGTTTCAGAATTTCTAACAAGGTTGTATAGTAAGGTACACAGTAGCAAGTGAGAAGCAGTGTGTGCTCTTCAGTTTTCCCTAACACTTATTAGCTTTTGCAACTGCATCTCCATTTTGGCTCCAGAGCTTATCCCAAATCATACTAGTTTGTCTGTTCCTTGGCTTTTAAATATTTTTCCAACGCCTCTCTGAAATCACCTCCTGGCTTTTTAGAGCCATAACATAATTCTACATTTTGATGCCAATGGATAATTTAATCTTTATAGTTGGCATCTGTGAACTTTTTGGTGATTTCTTAATTATCTGGTTTTTCCCAAGGTTGTTTCTGATCCTTTGCTGTAACTTTTTAGTGAGAAGTAGTTCTAAGTTACCATTCCTCCTTCCCAAAAACATGAAACTGATTCTTTTTTTCTGAAGTCCTCTCACTTCTAAGGGTGCTGTGTGGCTGCTGAAAACACACTGGGAAAATTGCACTGATTGAAACTATTTGTTCACTGCTGCATATTAATGTTGTAGCTTGGAACTGTATCGTGCTCTCTGTATATTTTGGTGGTGGTCTTTAAATTAAAAACAAAAAGGCAACCAACAACTAAGCACACTGTAAAAAAAAAAAAAGGAGAAAAATACCTATTTGTTCTAACAATGTTACACATGATTCACTTTTAATGTAAAAATTGTGATTGTTCATAGATTATTTTTTTTTTGTCAGATACCCCAGAAGTTTCAGTTACTGGCTATGATGGGAACTGGTTCATTGGAAGAGGAAATGTTCAGCTCAAATGTAATGCTGATGCAAATCCATTACCTATGGAATTTATGTGGACCAGGTAAATATTTATGAAAAGGGATTTGGCACATGATTCAAGTGGTATAATCACTTTGCTTACAGTCAATGCATGTTTTGAAAACAAAGAGTATGTGACTTGTATTGGTCATATTGGTTTCATCCAGCTTTTTAAAAGGGGAGTACAAGATGTGTGTTTGTATGAATACAGGTGATATCTTGTAAATTTATGTGCCTAAACAGTTTGTCATTACTCTCAGGGTAAAGTGTCTTTATTTACTCAAGGTATACTGAGCTCTCTGTGTTGCAGCATGTAGAGCAAAGACCAATAACTCTAATAAGAATCCAACTATTATTTACATATGCCTCTAATGAAAAAATTTAAAAGCATACATATCATCCACATTTCATGAATCTGTGGACTACCATCCCAGGCTTAGCTCAAAATCACTGTGATGAGAAATTTCAGCACATAAAAATTCCTGTGTTTAAAAAAAGCCCCCAACAGCTGTACCATTTGCTTCTTCAGATGCACTAGGTTCTTAGTTCTCTCATTTGAATTTGAAACATACATAAGAACTAATCAATACTACAAATGTTCACAATTCTAGAAGAAATGAACCTATTTAAATACATTCAAAGCCATTTGAGCTTCAGAGATCACTGTTAGACTTCCTAAACTTAAAATGGAAGAAACTTTTACAGGAAATCTAAGTTTTCTGGAATAAACCTGGTATGCCCTTTGGAGCAACAACAAAACCCATCCAAAAATCTAGTACTGGTGAATAAGAAAGTTCATGTGTAAGGGGGAAATCCATGGAAAAGAAGGGTAGCTTGAGCTTGGAGAAGTGCTGTGTTGAACTGTGTACTGTTTGACTGGTGTCAGATTACAATAGGTTGTAGAACTCCCTTACCAACCGGATTTGTCCCTTGGAATCCAAGATGGCATTGTATTTACTGGGATAGTGAGATTTTCATGGTTAGTAATATTTTTAAATGTTGCATGTATGAGAATTTTAGTAGGATAGAGCTTTCAAACCACTTGACTGTTTTTTTATAACGTTTCTTGAAATAAGTACTTCTGGTACTATGAATTATGATGTATGTGACTGATGACTTTTATCAGCAATTCTGGGCAATACAATAATCACAGCAAAGGACTAGGGATCTTGTCTTGAACCACATTTTCTGAAGATTGTATTTAGTGTTAACTGTGAAGTGTTAGTTTCTTTTCCCTTGAGTACCTGTTTTAAATAGATGGTTGCCTTTTTGTTCAATACTACTTTAAAAAAATCACACTTTCTAAATGCTTTCAAGATATTGTCATCTAGTGATCTAGTCTGAATATTGATTTAGGCCTGCTTGGCTGTTAATAGGTACTTAGATAAATCAAAATGGATTTCAATGGCATGGAATTACACAGGTGTTTAATGGACAGTTGGCAGCGCTGTTAGAATAGTTCCAGGGCCTTTGCCTTTCCCCTTTTTCTCTTGCATTTACACAGTTGTTACTGCAATGTCAGACAGAATTGTACAAGGAAATGATAGATTTAGAAAAGTCGATTGATAAAAAATAATTTTTTCAGCCAGTTGTTTCCCCAGGTGTATCACCAAGTACCACATTCCATTTCAGTGCTGTAATTTAGACAGAAGAGTGATGGGAGGTAAGAAAAGACAGTTCAGGAGAGGAGAAACTGCTTGAATTCTTGCTCAGAAGTTCTAGTCAAAATGTCCTCTAAATTAAGTATGTATGAACAGAAATATCTACTGGATGCAAATGAACAGGCAGCTAATCCTGACAGCAGAAGTGCTTCTAAACTGTTAGTTTTCAGAGCTTGGGTTGTCTTGTTCCTCCAAGTTCTTTTGAGATGTTGTTTGCTTAGCTGTAGTAGTGTTGATTTTAGACAGCTTGCTAGTTCCAGCAGATCTGACATTTAAAGGATTTGGCCCAGAAATTAAATACTGAGTAAACCTTCAGGTGTACCCTGAGAATATTGAAGGGAAGCCCACTGGAAGTGTCAGAGCACAGTGAAAAAGTCATTCCAGAGATTATTGGCAATATTATTTTAAACTCCTTCTGTTTAAACTAGTTGTAAATATACACATTTGAAATATAACTGTTCTTTTAGGTTGGATGGACAGTGGCCTGAAGGATTGTTGGCTGTTAACAATACTCTGCAATTCAGCAGCCCTTTGACTTATAACTACACTGGGACTTACATCTGTAAGGTGACTAATGCTCTTGGTCAGAAAAGTGATCAGAAGACTATCTACATATTAGGTAAGTTTTACTTCTTAGCAAAGACAGTTTGTTAACTTGGAACATTTTTTTGTCAGTGATCAAATTAGCAAACTGAAGAGCCAGTTGTTGCATGAAATAAATGAAAAATATATGCTTTTTGTGTGAAAAGCCATTGAAAGTGTGGATTTAAAAGCTACAGCACAATTTGGGATTAAACTGACTCTTGAATAGGAACATATAGTGGAAATTCTTACGGTTAAGGTGCTTCTGAGATGATTATTTTCTTTTGGTAATTTAACTTTTTGTGCAGTGTTAACCTGTGTTTGACAAGACATATTGACTGCAATAAGTAGTACCTTGTCTTTAATAAATTGAGAAAACAGATGTTGGTGGATGGAGAACAATTATGTTTAGAAAAGTTAGATGCTCTTTTAAGGAAGTTAGTTATGTTCTGAATTGTGTCCATTTTACACCAGTTACTTGTGTCATTTTCTCAGGGTGCAGATACCCAGTAATCATCAAGTTAAATACCTCATGCAGAACCTTTGCTGATCTACTTAGTACCATGTAGACAATTTGTGTGTCTGTGTAGCATTACTGCTGCTGGAACACACATCCTTGCATCATTAACACAATGTAATTAATTTTTTACTGTGACATCTTTTTTGTGAAAGAGCACTATGACTTACAGTAAGCATGAATACTTCTATACACATGTGGAAAAGCTGTTCAGATTTTCATAAGGGATTAAGTAAATTAGCTTGATGAATAAATGCTAATATTATAGGGCTTTTGAAGGAAGATAATAGACATGAAAATTAAAACTTCATTATGTTGTATTGTGTTGCTGCTTTCCAGTAAGTTCTTGACATTAGTTATTTCATTAAGTAAATTAAGTGTCAACGCACATGTTGGCCCATTAGAGAATGCAGAGATGGTGGATACAAACATTCTTTGTTAAAATTCCATATGAACACTTAAGAGTTAAAATGAGAATGAGAATATAAGACTAAAACTGTAAGTACAAAATGTTTGAAACCACATCAGTCAGAATTCACTTTGACAGTTCTCTGAATCTTTAGAATGAATGATAATGTTGAAGTTAGTCACTGTAGGCCTCTGTGGAAAGCTAGTAAGTTCTAATTAACTGTCTAGTCAATGAGCTAGTTAACTGGAAACTTCTAAATAGTTTGAGACAGTTGAATTACTTGTAAACTACTTAATACCTAGAATTTTATATAATTTAAAATATTTCAAGTGCTGCCAATTGTTATGAAAGTTATTTCTGTGAGAGTTACTTTTGGATGTTTTGTTTCTAAGGCTGCTTCTATGGAGAAGACTTCATGGCTGCATAGCAGTCTCAAAACAATTACAAAAATTGGCACATTGTAAGAAATATCAATTCAAAAAATTAGAAAATCATCATTAATTGGGGTGAAATGTTTGACTCGAATATAACTTTCAAATACACTTGCTCAAAAAATAACAATGCAGTTTATAGCTCTGTTCTCAACCCTATTCTAAGGAATGGGGAAAAGTTTTTTCAAGTCCACTATTATTCAAGTTGTCAGTTCTGTAAATGTTACGTGATCTAAACAGACATCATGCTTTTTACCATGACTGTCATACATGAAAATTTAAGGTTGTCATTCAAATTATGTTTTCAACTAACAGACTAAAACAGGCTAACCAGAAAATCCTATATAATATTTCCTAAAATGAATCAAGTTTTTAAAAAGCAGGGTAGGCATACAGGCTAGTTGGGCAGTGGTGATGGTTTATCTTCTAGCCTAATGCAAATCTTACAGAGTCTAAAACAGCTCAGTGCAGAGATAGTTAAGCTGCAGCAGTTGGCATTTGCTGTGAATTGATGGACGCTGTTTGTGTGTGCTGCTTTTCAGCTGTGCTCAGCAACTTGATTTTACTGTAGCAATTTAACTGCAATTAGCAAACCTTAGCTGTTTTCAGGGAGCAACAAAACTGAGCCTCACTTGGTGTGCAGAATCATACAGTGTCATGGTTCTGCCAGGTAGGTCCACCAGTAACAATAAAGGTTTTAGCTGCCAGTAAATTTCAGTCTTTAAAAAGTGTTATGTTGATCATGCTGATAAAATGATTAAAAGCACTGTGTATAAACTTTTTGTATATAGGAGACTTGATAAAAAAAGGAGAGGTGAAGCAATTATTAGTATAACACCTGTATTGTTTTCAGAAACAAATACTAAGTACATTCTATTGTAACTCTTAAGAATAACTTTACAAAGTGATTGGTTCTTTAATTGAAATGCCCTAAAGTGATGCAGGATGGGCAAGTGACCAATAATCAATTCACTTACCACCTGTAATATTTGACTTAACTCACCAGGTAATAATAGTAAACATGGCAGTGATGTACTGTAGAGCAATAAGCTGAAATAATCAATTAGCTTATTTTTCTGTCTTTGCTCTTAGCCATTGTATAAAACTTGGCATAAAATGTGAACTGAAACTTGGAAGTTAACAGACAAAGCTGTATGACCACAGCATCTTTCAAATTTTAATTATGAAGCTGTCAAAAAGGATTTATGAAGTTAATGTTTCTGAACAGTCACCATGCTCATAGTTGTTAAGCTTTTTAACTGCTAGAAAAAAATACCCATTAAGTTGAAATGTGTTGTAGGTTTGGAATGTAGCTGAGCAAAAGATTGGTTTTGGTCCTGATATTCATTGTTAAAGTCAAAGCTCTATTTTTAATAAGTTCTGTTGTGCTCCTAAATCTTGTTAATATTCTTGAAGTGAAATACAGAAATGAAAGAGAAGTAGTTGACAGGAACTAAATAGTATCTTCAGCTTCCAGATTCAGGAGATTCTACATCATTATAGGAATAGAGAAATACTCAAATAATTTTTGAAGTGTGATACTTGTTTTTATTTGGCATTTAAGGCCTAGTCATTTTTGCAATTTTTATTAATTCAATGATGCAAAACTAAACTTTTTCCATAGTTGTCCAGCAAAAGCAAGTCATGCTCCTAGTGGAGTTCAAGCATTGAAGTAAGTTTTCTAAAACATGCTGTCAGTTTGATATATAAAGCACTTCCTTGTACAGTATTGATTTACTCAGTTTTCTTACACAAGGAATTGAATTTTGTTTTCTTGACTGTGTTCTTTCACCTTCATACTGTTTACTGAGGCTTTCCCTTTCTCCCCTTGCAAAGGAGAGGTGACCTGTGAGGCTTGCATTAAGGTTGGAACATACTTCTTCTGTCATGACAGCCTTTGGAAGAGATTACTTTTGTTAAAAGTAAAGCCAGCCTTTGTTAGGCAGCAATCCTAGAAAGGTGTTTTTTGTAAGCACAGGGGTCACCTTCTTGTAGAGTGGACACTGTGAGGATTAACATAGCAGAGACTGATAGTTGGTTTTAGGTTTTGCTGCTTCATATATAAACCTCTGTTCTGAGAGCACCTTGTGAATACGGGCACTCTATTATTTTCTAAATTACATATTGGAGGGATGTTGACAAACTGCTCTTTAGCAAAGGGCTTTTGCTCCCTGGTCTAGTAGGCTTTGAATTTTCAGTGGTCTTCCTGAATATTCTTCCATGCTGGAGGTTACAATAATAATAAGTTTTTCTTGTGTCCCAAAAAAATACCAAAGTCTTTTATTTGGTGCATGAAAATCCCAGCTAGAAACCACAAAAGCACACTGAACTTTGAAAGTGGATGATTGATGAGAGAAACTGTTGATAGCAATATTAGTATTATGCTGCCAAAATAGAGGTGGGGGAGCACACACTGAAAATAATTCTAAGGAAAATGTTTAGCTCCAGTGTGAAACCTTTGTAGGCAAGACACTGTGGGGAGAGTGTTATGCAGTATCCTCACTGACTACTTGACATTAGAGCAGCAGTGGTTGGAGAAAGAAAGAATCATAAATTTCCAAATCATTTGCTCTCAGACTTTGAGTCTTCTTCCATGGAAAGCTGACTTTCCCTGCTGTCATAAAGCAGTTGCTACATAAGCTTTTCAGCAGTTGAAAGAGCTGATTTTTAAGACCTAACTGCACAGAATTATTATTCAATTGTTAAGTACTTAACATCTAAGGATAATTTAGCAAGAACAGCAAGTCAAGACACAGTAGTATGTATGTATCTGTGCAAACATACAAGTAATACATACACAGGCAGGTCCTTGCCACTCAGTAAAATGGCGTATGCAAAGAGAGATCTTGTAATTTGTCAAAGCCAACTCACTTGTGGATTAGATGTAATTGATAGCAGATCCTTGTCTTGTAGGAGGCAAAAAAAAGGGGACGTTTGCATCTTGAATGGTGTGGGATTGTTTTTTGCAAATAGAGAGAACTATTTTTGGCCACTCTGTTGTGGCTTTTGGAACCAGAAAGACTTTGACTGTCTATGTTAACACACAGCAACTCTCCAAGGAACCTTTATTTCCAAAACTTTGTTTCTGTAATATGACAAATTCTAACCCAAGTAAATTGTGACAGTATTGAATTATCTTACCTGTTGTAGAACTGGTCACTTTACCTCTCAAATACTTCATAGTAGGCTAAATCCAAAATGGTTTATGGTTTAAGAGTATTGTGTTCTCTTGTTGACTTTTTTTTTTTTTAACAATGATAAGACTTTGAAGATAGTGATCTGGTTTTTAGGGATGATTCATCCATCTCTTTCTACTTTCTTCTCTCTGACATTTGGCTTATTGTTGGCTTTGAATTGGCAACAGAAGCAGAAGTGAGTCCCAGAAATTTGAAGGATGTGGTATAGCAGGAGGACTGAAGCAGGGAGATGTAGTATTTGGGATGCGAAACGTGTTAGTTGGATGCCTCTACTAAACTTAATGGTAGAAACTCCCCTGCCCAAGATAAGTTGTTGGTATTGTAAGAGCTGAGAAAACTATATCAAGAATAGTCATTTAAGGGAAAAATAAAAATATCAAGCTGACACTGTTGAAAGTTGGTACTGACTTTGATGGGAAACATCTGGAAAACAATTAAGTGTGTGAAAACTAAGCAGTGCACTGGGACCATGGTCCTTTAATT